GAAATATATTTATGTTTGTGGTTGTAATGTGACAAAATATGGAAAAGTTCAAGGGGTATGAATACTTTTGCAAACCACTGTATAAATAATCTGTGCAGTAGTCTGACAAATGCCTCCCACCACTTTTACGCAGATGATACCATCATCTACTGATGTTCATCCTCCCTCAGCCAAGCTTTCAACTACCTCCAGGACACTTTTAAGGTCAACCAGTCCCGTCTTCAAAAACTAAAACTGGTGTTAAATAATGACAAAACAAAAATCATGATTTTTTTCTAACAGAAAACAGCAACCAGGGAGCCAACCAACAATTGCAACCCAACAGGGACAACAAATTGAAATCTGCTCCATTTACAAATATCCAGGTTTCTACATTGATTCTAACTTTTCCTTTAAAGCTCAGATCACTAAAATGGCAACTAAGCTCAAACTGAAATTAGGTTTTTATTTCAGAAATAAGTCCTGCTTCTCATGTAAAGCCGGGAAAACATTAGCAGCTGCAAAATTCATGCCTATTTTAGATTATGGTGACATGCTGTACATGACTGCTGCATCAAAATACCTGCAATCCTTAGACTCTCTTTACCACAGTGCTCTCCGGTTCATCACTGACTCCAACTATCTCACTCATCACTGTGAGCTGTAGGTTAAATCAGGCTGATCATCAGTCGCAGCTCGCAGATACACTCACTGGATATCCTTTGTCTATAAGACCCTCCTGAACCTAGTCCCATCATATCTTACCACCTTAATACAAACATCACACAGTAAATATTCCCTGCACTCCAACGATCAAGTCCTTCTGTCAGTTCCTCCTGTCAGAACTGAAGTAGGGAAAAAGCATTCAGCTTTGCTGCCCCCTCTGCCTGGAACAATGTACAGACAGATCACCTCTCTCAGATCCTTCTTGTCGATCCTCACRGATACTATTAAAAAGAAGTTTGATTTGTGCCTATGTTTTCTAGTCACTACTTGTATGCTGTAGTTATTAGTGATGATCTCTCATTTGACTTCTTGTTTTTGAGTTTTTACTATTTTGTTGATTATGTAATCAATAGTGTTAGATTGATTGATGTTACACAATTCACTTTGAAGAAATGAAAATCATTAGGACGTAATTTGTGAATTACTTTGGTTTGTATGTCTAAATGACTGAATGTCTTCATCTTTTTTATCAACTTATATTTTAAATTGTGTTTACTTTGACTGCAATGTGAATCTTAACTCTGATACTCTCTGTGACATGTCGTGCGGACCTCTTGACCAGGTCACCCTTGTAAAAGAGATCCTG